CGCACCTTGATACCCGCGACAACCTTCCCATATGAGGGTTTTTGCACGTCAGCTACACCTCACGATGCCTTAAATTCATCCGTGCAGGACTTTTTCGTGAATCATCACTTGCATCATACATTTTTTACATATTTCTCCAACATGCACTGTTTTTCGTTACTATGAACCTTCATATGTTATTGCAGTCGTCTCGTTATTTCAAATGAACGAAAGAGGGGGGGGGTAAATTCATAACAGGGACGCATAATTGGTGAGTAAATGAATGTCATACAGGTGTAATTGGTGAAATTGATGAAAAAATACACAATTACTTCGAAAATAGCTGTCAGTTTTCACAACCGCGATCTGCATTTCACGTTAAAATCTCACGTCTAGCTAAGGCCAAAGTCTACCACGCCAATGACGTGCGTTCAATTCTCCGTACCTTCAGTATGACGTATCACTTTGAACCTTGAAATGACCTCTATGTCACACGAAGTAGCGAAGGTGACTTTGAGGAGGTGTTATGAGTTTGACCTTGAGCGACCTTGACCTACGTCATACGGCAACGATGACGTATGTCTGTCTCCCTATAGTGCCGGAACATCTACTTAAGTAACCATGGGTCAATCTCCCCACTGTCAAGACTACGGTACTTCTGAAGACATATAGATATAGGTAAATGCTTAAATATATTGAAAATCGCCATCAAGTACATCAAATGAATGAAATGGTCTACGAGTCGGTTGATCAGCGTCACTGATTAGTTTTACTCATTGAATCAACCACTGTTGTGAATGATGGATCGATCCCCACTCTGGAACGATGATTGTACACCGCGAAATATCTGATGCGAGCTGCGAATCGTACTTTGGTAAGTAACCTAAGCCCACACAAGTTTTAATTAAAAAAAAATCTATTTCAAAAATCTATCTCAAATATATTCACTAGTATCAAGTTCTCATGCCATTCATTACTTTGCATCATTTGACTCACGAAACTGTGTCGACTTGTATGAATACAAAATCAACGATTTCAATAAATGTTTCTTTTGGATTCATGAAATATAATTATGAAACGACTATAATCAATTGCCGTACCTGATAATTCGATTAACATCGTGAACGATTGTTTTTACCACACTGTTCCAAACTGAATGAATTCCAATGTTTTACTTGCATTTGAATATTTCAACTCGTTGCCAAAAACAATGGCTTCAGAATCAACGTAACTAAATAAAGTAATCCGATTAATAGCATGCAAAATAAATATTTGATGTTAGTAAAAAGGGATGTGTGCAAAAAGGGGGGTTAAAAAACAAATGTAAGATATCATTCTGATTCATTGAAAATAAGATAACAATTGTTCTTTGAGAAAATTACAACATTTTTTCAGATAATGGAATTTCAAACCTTTATAACTCAACAAAATTCAAAAAAAACATTGAGATTTGAGTACCTATATACCTATAAAGGACTTCAAGGATATTCAACACCTAGAATTAAATCATAAAGTGTGTAGTAATATACTGAATAATAACTATGAATATAACACGAAAGTAGCCAGGAAAACATGAAATTCAAACATAACACACTACATCTCTATACGTTGTGATGGAAAAAGTCAAAACTATCAAAATATTCCATTTCTCTTTGTACAATAGGTTAATTTATGATGATATGATGAGATAGGTTTGGATAAAAGCTTGAAAATTGGGTGCAAAGTCTTTATTCTTGACTTCTGCCTAATAAACGTAAGCTCATATTTTATCGTACCAACATGAATTCATTTCTTTTTTCAGATATGGCAAGTTCATGAATTGAAAATGAGGTTGTCCAATGGTTGAATCATTCCGAAATAATAACACAAATTGACAGTGCAGGTGCAAATTTGAAATTTTTAACAATTAAAAGAGAGTCACTAAAGTCATATCATCATCGAATGAGAATATGTGAACACATACTTACGATTTATTAAGTGCAACTCTACTACCCAATGCAACGATTTTGTCCCAAGAGAATACTCCTACTGTAAATATTGGATAGGGTTGGTATTATCAAATGAACTTCGTTCAATTTTCTTTTATTTCCCGTCACAAATTTCAAATTAGCATATTAAAAAATGAATGACGACTTAGGCATGCATACTTCCTGATGCATTTTTGTATCGTGCGCAAGAACTATGTGGCATGTGGGTCAAAATGTTGTGGTAAAATATTGTGTATCAAAAAGTTCTTTTGAGAATTCCAATTGGGTGTTGAATTGTATACAATTGTGTGCTCTCGTGAAATTCGCTTTTTGTTCAACAAAAATTTGTTTAGTTTTTAGTATAAACATACTTCAATAACTTCAATTGCACCGGGAATTTGTATTCTGCACTGAGTCTGTATGAAATTCCATCACATGCAATGAAATTCCATCACATTACGGAATTTCTGGACAATGAATATCAAATAATTTGTACTAAGAATAGGCATCTTCAGTAGCCTAGCAAACTACGGGTGATGCAACAGGGGCTTGTTTCAAAAACATTACTAGTCGACAAGCGATAAGTTACTAGTGAAAAATTAACAAGTGTCAACTTCCTGGATTTTCTGTCGCAGGAAGATAAAATTTGACTAATACCAATTTACAAGTGAGTGTAAAAACCGTTGAAGGAATTTGTAGAAAAACTTAGTTCTGTAGAAAGGAAACCGGTTTTGTATTATTTCGCAGTATTTTCATAGGCACCCTAGTAAGTATTTGTATATTTTGTCGTGCACATATTTTTTGATAGTTCACAAGTGTACGATGATCTCAAATATGAATTTCAAACAGAGAAACATTTCTTATTTGAAACAATAACAGAAAGCCAGCAAGTATAGTTTGGAGAATTTCGATCAAAATTGACAAAAACAACGAAATCAGATGAGTGGAGAAGAGTTTACGAATTCGCTTCATCCCAGCAGCAACTGGTTACGTCAAAATAAGACTGAAGATATTGCCTGGACAAAATGTGGCTTAATTTAAGGAAACGCACAATTGGTCAATGCAATTCATATGTGTTGAACTCATTTATCGTCACTTTTTTATTATAGCTAAGACCAGGGGTGGAAAAACTATCAAAACATGAATATCATCTTCTACATCTTCCAAAGTTCCGTTCTTTCACAAACGGTACTACAATCTCTGCTCTCATCTCATTGTTATCTCTTATTTTGTTAGCGAGTATTATATTGAGGAAACTCGCATTTAATAAATGACAAGAAACGTCTCAGGTTTTCAATTGCATCTTCGATAACTCTCCTTGGTTGTTTCTGTGCTTTTAGAAGATTATTTTCTGGAGCATCATGGACCTTTCTGACTATTGCCATTCTTTGAGTGAATAAAAACTTTTTCTTAGGATTACATAATTAGGCGTTGTTCTCCAGTCTTCCACTATCCTTTAGTATAATAGACTGAGTCTCATGAGTCTTGCATCTTGGCCATTGTCTAACCAGTTAGCATAAACACCGTGAAATTGAAAATCTGGACCGCTAACTAAGCAAATATGGTAGCTATGAAGAGTGACATAAATCGCCAATGTACCATCTATGCAACCACATCCGAGTGGTATTCCTGCTAGCCTGCTGAACTGGAATAAGTATTACGTCAGTGATCATTTCACTCTTTCTGGTAAAATTTAACGATTTATTGTTTCGAGAATTTTCGAACTGCTCGATGTACATACAATTGCCTTAAATACTCCATACGAATTCAAGATGAGGTGATATTTTCACTGAACAGTTTTACAAAAACACAAGTGTTTGGCTATACAAGAGCATCTTCAGACGTGTCTTCAGTGAAAATCTCTAAATCAATCAATAAATTGTTTCTTGAATACGTTTTGGACTTTCAGTATCGACCGATTCCATCACATAATTCCGTACATATTACCGGTTGGGCGATGTTGCACACCACTGCCCAACCACTGCAGAGTAATTTGAAGATATTGTTGGTATTTTTGATAATTTTTCCATTTTCTATGATGAAAGTCGGAATTGCTCACTGAGCTCATATGTATTTCGAATATTCGGATCATATTTCGGCTCTTCTAACGAGTTTCCGTATATTCTTGTTCTCATCTTCCGTCAGTCACTAACACATGCCAGAACCTAGTAAACTTGGGATTGAAATGTACCTCATTTCAATTATAAACTGAATAAACTGTGGTTGTTGATCTAATTTCACTTGTGGCGGAACTGATTAATTTCTTCTCGAAACAGTATACTTGTTATTTCAAATAATTTCACCAGTAAAGTTGGACCCCTATGCTTATAACTTGTAAATTACTAGTAGCACTTTCAAAGACAGTGCAGTAATAATTACAAGTAAAATTAGATTTTGGAAACAAGCCTCAGGAGATCTCGCACCCTTGAAAAATATTATATTGACCACTGCTGGTAATATCGATCGAAATCTGCTTGATGTTTTTATGTATCTGTACTCCATTTGGTTTATCGAACATGATCCTTATACATAAATACTTCTATATAAAAACAATAATTTATTATTTGATACCCATAGGAAATGAAAAAAAAACATGCGTAGGTACCTAATATCACTTCAAAGATAGGAATATTGACTGAGCTACCAGTGATCCTTATCTAGTCACAGTCAACAAGTTTCAAAATTTCGAAGGGTATTGGATAGTTCATCAAAGGTCAATTGTTTTATATAATCATTTGAAATCTCATAGAAAAAGATTTCATTGTACTCGACATACGTACATTAGGAAGATGAGATTATTGATCACTATCCTACATACGTTCTATCATTGAGTAGTGATGATTTTGCGATTTCAGAACAATTAAAAAGTATTCAGGTGCTAAGTTATTCAGAACTTCATAAATATAATACCTCATTATGTGCAATTTGTGATAAAATTTGCACTGAATTTTTTTTTCTTGTTTTTGTTCGATTTGTCATGGCATTCAGCTGAAAATCTCATTGAGAGTTACACAATCATTTTGAAATCCAGTTGAACAAAACAGAAAAACTCACCAAGCTCGGTTGTGTCCATGTTCTCTTTGGTGTGGTTAGTTATATTATCATCGTTTGGTTCAATGTTAACAATTTCTCCCTCTGAAACCTTGCAACAACCTGCACTTGGTTTTCCATGAACACAGTATATAACCCTTCGTGCTGGAAATACACTGGCTGAAGATATTAGGTTGTTTTTAAGAACAGAGCCATAACTATTGTTTGCCGCAGAAATTCTCCTAAAAATGAAAAATAACCTAGTTTTTAGGCAATAAGATGTTAAGTAAAGAAGTACAACGATAATATATAGTAGGAATAATTCACCATAAACATGTTGGGAAAAGTAAAAAAATCAGGTAATTTGGAGTATTTGACTCTTTTGACTTTGAAAAATCTGAAAAATAAATCTAGATCAACAGAGAATATGCTGGAATATGAATAAAAGCCAAGTGAATATTTCATCTTCAAATGTTAAAATGTATCATAAACTCAAGAAAAAAAGTCCAATCATCTTTTATTTCTATAATGTATTTCTATAATTTCTCTTGATTTCGAGTTTGAAGTCAAAATTCCTGAAATAGCGTCGGAATTTTTATTTTCAGAGTCCGAATTTACAAAAAACAAATAATGATAAAAACATGTGGTACTTATGTGCTTCTGTACAGAATGGATCGTTGGTAACAAGTCATTTGAAATATATGTCCGCACCACAGCATGGAATAACGACAGATTTGAGGCAACCAATTTGCTTTAAATTCTATTACTTCGGACTTCCATTGTGGATGATATCAGCTTGGAACCACTCAATGTTATGTTGATGAATCCAAACATGCTTTGCAATTCCCGATTTGCTAATTTCTCCTGAATGTGTTTTTCTTGTATTTGGCAATGTGGACTTTCAAGGGCCTGCTAGTTTCACCAATATAGGATTTGCCTCACTCACAGGATATCCGGTGAATGCAATTCTTGGAATCGTAGTCCGCGTTTGGTGGTCTGGTTTTCGTGAGGCTGCTACGGATTGTGTTTTAGGATCTTAAGCAGGTTATGTGGTTGTACTGGGACCCAATTCTTCTCATCCTTTCCGACAATTATCTGAAGTAGGGAAGAACAAGCAATTGTTGTGACGGCTTCACTTCGTTGCGACACGTTTGCTGTCTTCTAGCCAAAGCCTGTATCATAATTAATTTGCAGTAATGATTCCGCTGAAAATCTTTTTAGTTGATGCCTAGTTCTTTTTCGAGACCTTCCTTTGTATTACAGAGCCCGAAAGCACGACCAACTAGAGTCTTGATGATTCCTCTTTTAGGAGATTGATGGTGGTTGGATTCGTGATTCAGATACTATCCTGTGTGAGTTGGTTTTTGGTAAACAGATATTTCCCACTTAGTGTCGGTCCTCTTCTCTAATACGTCTAAGAATGGCAATTTATTGTTGACTTCCTTCCTCCGCTGTTGATGTGCTTCAGAAAGTTGTCTAGGTCCATATTCCCATGGTTCAATACTATAAAGGTGTCGTCAACGTATCTCAACCAAACTCGGAGCTTCTTGTGAGATTTTCTAATGGCCAAAGTTTGAAACCACTATATATCCACTTTACACGTCGAAACTGATGAATTGATCTTGCTCTGTGATTTCGATTGATTTTAGTAATTTGACAGTGCCTTGAATTCTTCACAAAAGACGAAGAAGTTTTTTTTGTAGTGGTTGTATTATTGGAAGTAGAAATCTGAACAAGTTTTGAATAGCTGAATCTCTGGAACTAAAGATCGGTCTGAGCGAAACACCCTTATTGTGGATTTTTGGTAGTTCATATAGGTGAGGTGGCCCACTGTGATAGATGCGGCGTTAGCGATGATCTCTCCTTTCCCGAAAAATTGACTTGGTGTGTTTTCAAAGTCTGGTACAACTTCCTTTCAATTGATGCAGTAGGATCCCGTAAAATCTGCGTGCATTGCCTCTTTTCAAACACATAATCGATCTTCTGTTCGTAGAAATCAGTATCCATCACAACAGTAGCGTTTTTCTTATCTGCCTCGATCTCTACGTAGGCCGTTCAGAGCTCTGCGTTCTTCATTGCAGATGTTAGATGCTGGAACTGGTTTTCGATCCAGCTGTTCTCTGATTTTCCATCTGAATTTTTCTACCTCGGTCTGATCAATAAGGAAACTGGTGGATTCCTCTGCAATAATTATCTTCATAGTCATCTCTCGGAGAAATAGTCCAGTTCACCCGAAGACGATTGTGGATAGTAACAATAGGAACGTTGTGAAGAAACTTGGTTTGGAATCTTCTTTGATTTTAATATTTTGCTTATTTTCATTTTCATTCTTTCTCATTTATTTTTACTTTGTAGTTATTTTCATTTCAAATTTTGAATATTTCATTCGCTTTATTGTATTTCATTTCAGATTTCATTACTTGAAATAATCGATATTTCAGTTATTCATTCTGATTTTATTCGATTTCGAATCATAGTGGAATCATATTAGACAATGGAAGTCCGAACTAATGAAATTCACCATGAAACATGGTCCACCACTGTTTAACAAACAATTGGCTTCACTTATATATTTTGATCATTCACGGCCTCCCGTTAAAATCCAACTTCTATACAGAAGCAAGATTCAAAATTCAAGAAAAATTTTTGGGTAGCGATTTTAAAAATATTTCAGTTATTACTATAAAATTTTGAAACCCTTTATCTTCGAGAAGAGAAACTTGTGTAAATAATCAGTGTGAACTAGGAAAAATATTTCTTTGATGAGCGTGCGAGGAGGGTGAAGCGGGGCGCCACTGAAGATGACTGCCGCAGTTGCAGTTGAAGGGATTACAACCAAAGAAGACCACGGCAAACCCGAGAACCAACCAAAACCTTGACGCCAGCCGCGAAAGCCTTCATCCCTATATTACTTTAACAACATTTCATTTTCAAAATGGTCTTCAATCATCTATAAATCATTTTTCTACTGAGTATGACAAGTTAAATAATAAAAATAATTGAATAGAACTGGCCGATATTTCATGAAAATCCATATTTGAACTAATTAATACAGTTTATTGTATGATTTTCACTATAAAAAGGTTTTACAAAAACCGCGACACGTGTTTCGCTATACAATATCATCTTCAAACGTAAACTAAAACGAACGAATTGTTCTTTTAGATGATTTGATTTATAGCCAGTCTTCAAGTATGCCCACTGATTATATGTGTAAACTAAAAGTTACTTCTGAATGACAATTATTTTATATACTCTAACATATTAGTTACTTGAATGCCTACTTTCTAGTGAAAGAATGTATGAATTCAACTTTATGAATACATTTTTTGAAAGTACCGTAAATATACTTGACTATTATCACCTGAAAATAAACAGATTAAATGATGGTGAATCACTCAATTCAGTTTGATCGTTCGTAAGATATTGAGAGTTTTCGAATTTATTTATTTCCATTCTCTCCAACAGGTTAATTTCAAGCCTTTCTTCTGGAAATGGAGGGGCTTGAATTCATGGTTGAACTCATGTCCCTCTGTGATGAAATGAGTGGCATATGTGGAATTTATTTTTCCATTCTGGAAATTTATATGTGTTTCTTGATGCGGGTTATGAACGTTTTTCCCGTTTGACCTATATAGAACATCGGACATGACCCATATAATATATGATAATATATGCATTCCCGATTTTTCTGAAACTGAACTTATATCTTTGTTTTTCTCAATGTGCATGCCTAAATTGTTGCTGGTTTTGAAAGCAAGATGTACACCTTTGTTGTACAGAAAATTTGTAGTGAGTTGGCCTAAGTAGGTTAAGATTCCATAATTGTTATCCTCTTATCTTAGAACTGGGTAAACTTCCTTCAAAGCTTAGCTGTAAACTTTTTTGATAATAAAGAATGTATTAGACTGATATCGTAATCATTGTTGATTTATTATGTTCAGTTCTTTATTGCCTCAGACGAGGGCACATATATCAGTCTGTGGATCATACTGTTGAAACCAGCAACTTTGAGCTGATACGGTTGGGTGGACGAATAACGAATGATGATATATGTATGTGCAGGTTTACGATAAATTGGAAAATCATGTTTGTTGTTAACTTTTTTTATTGTCAAGTCCAAAAATTTATAATAGAGTCGTCCTTTTCCATCTCCACTGTGAATGTGATAAAAGGGTGGAGAGAACTGATGAAATTCAAAAACTTAGTCAACTGTATGTTCGTCCCTGTGAAACATACCAGGATATCATCCACATATCTATATCAATACACAAAATTTCTTATCAATGGTTTACATTGTATTTTTCTCTCAAAATCGTCAATGGAAATCTCTGCCAGAATAGGACTAAGTGGGGTTCCCATTATGAGACCTTCGCAGGACGAGTAAAATATCTCATTGAATTGTAAGTATTTCTGTGACAAAGAAACAGTAAGCAAGTCTAAAATTTTCTGTTTCACCTTCATCAACCTTTCGTCCAATAGATTCTCTACAAGAGTAATCGTTTCATTCGGAGAAATACTGGCAAACAGATTCTTTACATCGAATGAAATCAATTTGGCATCAATCAGGAGTGTAATATCTTGAATTTCATTGATCAAATGGTATGAATTCTTCAAATTGAATTTTGATTTGGAATTGGTGTGGTTTTGAATAATTGCAATACTTAAACTGAAGGAGCTGTGACAAAAGAAACTACCGGTCTAATCGGGTACTTATCTTTAATTTGATCAACGAATAAAGTTTAGGTGGTTGTGGGTTAATGACTAACTAGCTGTATATATATGTGGATAATATCCTGGTATGTTTCACAGAAACGAACAGACAGTTGACTAAGTTTTTAAATTTCATCAATTCTCTCCTCCACAGATATCATGCATAATTCATCCTCCCACCCGTATCAGCACAAAGTAGCAGGTTTCAACAGTAGTATGAACCACAGACTGATAAATGTGTCCTTGTCATAGGCGAATTTCAATAAAAAACTGAACATAATAAAAAAAATAACCGTCAACAATGATTACAATATGTATATATTCTTTGAAAGTATAATAATATTCACAATATAGGACAGAAATACTTGATGATAACACAGATTGAAATGGATATTTTCTTCCTCACCACGATGTGTTTCAGTAGCCCAGTATTACAACTAAATGTCACGTGAGTACTATTCAGTGCTTTGACTATAAAAAAACAGTCTTCATTAAATGATACCGAGAATCTTGGTCCGGTTTTACAAAGGGATATTTTTTCTACTTCATCAAACCTACGTTATATGATGTATTGATCATTCTCAAACACGTTATCAAAAAAATTTTCGCATACAAATTCTGTAGCATAATTGAAAATTTGTCAATTAAACACAGCTACCACATTAAGTACTTCTTCAGCTTCATATTTATCAATTGAATGTGTTATGGAATTGGCTAAATAAAAAAAATTTGAAACAAACTCTTAAAAATAATTTTTGAAAACTTTCATGCTGATGATTCGTTAGTAGGATCGAATTCAGTGTCAGAATTACTAAAAATTCAGAAGAAGAATTATACAACTATTTTGAGTTAAGGAAATAGTTGTATAACGAACATAATATTTGAAAAAAATATTGTGAATGAAGATTCGCAAGCTGCTATTGTAGAAATTGGTAATGATAATAACACGACTTCAAAAATCTATTTGAGTCCTCAAACAGATGGAATTCCTTAAAATATATAGATTCCAAATAAAGCATTCTCAAAATGAGTAGGACGGAAATATTGTCAGTAGTCTATCATATATTTTGAAACATCCAAAAATATTACAGAGTAATGATCAGCTTACATCAATGAACATAAGCAATTAATGTATTGTGGCGTACAATTATTATTTTCTATTAGGCAGAAATTCTGACCTCTCTCTGCAATAAATAGATGTCAATAGTTTGTTAAAAATTATTTACAACTTTTGAAAGCAAATACTGACGAAGTGACGTACTTGGCTTACACGAATCAAGAGTGAATAGTACATTTCCTTTTTGAAACATTGGTTTAGATTATGACGGTCTATTTGCAATCAAACCAAATGTTGTTCTCTCAATCACCAAAAATAGCCATTAAATCAAGTTAGTCCTATTAATATAACTTGAAATTCATCTTTATGAGAAATTCATACAAAAAGTTCATTTCAATACTTACAGCAACGTATTCTGTTCCAAGTTGTTCGGCATTTTGTACGAGAGAAACAAACAACAAAGTTACTTCAAGTCACAGAGTTATAACAGGTTAAAAAGTATTCATTTTATCCATGAAAACATCGTGTTTTAATATATAACCCGGACAAGATAGCTGAACGTATCATTCGCCCGATACCACAGTAAATACTAAGTTTAATTTATCTTCAGACAATATTCCCCGAGTCGACAAAAACAAGAACGTTTATCTTTAAAATTGTGTTGTTTGCACTTTTGTACCGAAAGTATTACTGTATTCTTTTTCGAAATTAAACACTGATAATTTTTTTGATGTTTCCAGATAAGTATTGAGTCAACAAATAATCTTCATATACCTATGAATATAGATATGAATATACTAAATGAAGGGTATTCCATTGAAATTATAAGATGAAAATTTGCCGTAATATCAGAAGTACGCAAACGCAGAAAGGTCACATTTTTCTACTATTTGTATCTTGGTAACCACGACTCAAGAACTCGAAATTTCGACTTTGATCTCTTAAATTTTGACTACAAACTCGAAATTACAGCTTTCAACTTGCCCAAAAATGACAAGAAAAATCTTCCAAATAACTATAGACCAGTCGCTTTGCGACTCAGTGATATCAAAAATCATGGAGAAAGCCGTGAACCATCATAGTTTTAAATATTTGGAAGTCTTTAACATGTTAAGCGATCATCAATATGGCTTTCGGAAACAAAGATCAACAGGCGACCTATCGTATGTCACCCATATTTGGAATAACACAATCGAGAAACATGGAGAGTCAAGAGCTGTTGCGCTTGATATTTCTAAGGCCTTTGACATGAGTGTTTGATGGCCAAACTACGATGCTATGGCTTGTCGGATCATTTTTATGTATGGCTCCCCAGCTTCCTGAAAGAACGTGTCCTGAAGTGGCCGTCGATGGATATCTCTCGAATACTTTTATCATCAACGCTAGTATTTTCCAGGGATCCATATTTTCTCCAACCCTCTTTTTATTGTATATCAACGACTTTTCCGAAAAAATGAATATATTGCTTTGCCGATGACAGCACACTTGTCTCGTCATTTTATTTGGATTCCAAGACATCGGCTGCGGATGCAAATCTTCACCCCCATCAGTCTTAATGAGGATCTGAAGGTGATTTTGAATTGAGATGATACTAACTAGGTTCAATTCATATCACAAAAACCCAGGCTTCGGTTTTTTCCAAAAAGATAAAATGTCTAGTAACCGGATATAATAATGTCAGGTCAGACAATTCCGATAAGTTTGTTGGGGGGTTAGAATGGACACCAAATGTCTTGGCACAATCATGTCGCAGAAATTGCAAAGGCCGCTTCTCAAAAGCTTGAAACTAGAAAACTGTACACATCTTAGCAACTTTTGATGCCTTAGAAAGCTCAGATCAGACCTACTTTGGAGTATTGTTCTCATGTATGAGCTCCGCCTCCAAGCATACCCCGAAGCTGCTGGATTCATTTCAGAAAAAAGCTATCCGTCTGATTGAAAACGCGAACTTGCAACTTGCACTTGCTACCTTGATAGTATGGAACATCGAAGAAAGGTTGGGAATTTGTCTCTTTCCTATAGATACTTTCACGGAAAGTGTTCAAGTGACTTGGAACATTTGATTTCACGAAGAGCGGTACATATCAGAAATACGCTACGGACTGTGGCTGCTAATCGTTTTGAGGTTCAACTCAGTACACCTCGAACTTCACTGTTTAAGAACTATTTTATTTGAGAAATCCGTTCCTGAGAACGTTTTTCCAAACGAATTCGATCTCTAGCGATTCAAATTCAATGTGAATCGCTACTTTCGCATAGGGACTGCTCTTAGAGCGCTTCAAGGATTTTCATGTAGTGCTTGTATTGTCCTTGAAAAAACGATGCTCAAAGCGGTCAGTTGCAAAGCCAAGCTTGGACATTGACCGCCGACGAGATTGTCCTCTACAGCTTTCACTCCAAGCCAACTAGTTGTAAACTAGTACCCGAACTTAACTCATTTATAATTCAACAACAGACATCGCTGTTTCGACACACTATAAGTATCATCAGTGATGCTGGGCTGAACCACAAATGCTTTGGTGGATTCATATTTCCTTGAAGGACAAGCTCAAGTAAGTGATGACGTTTACATCTTCCTTTACGGAGACACATGTAGGGGATCGACAGGGAACTCAATCTCCGAATATCAAAGATGAACGAACCTTCTCAAGCCAGTCAGTTGCAAAGGCAAGCTTTGACATCGACTACAAAAAGAGATTCGTCTCTACCTTTCATCAACCCAATATATGGCGTTTTCGTGAGGGAATATGTCATTGCCTTTACTTACTCAGGCTTATCCTTTAGGGACAGTTGATCAGCAATACATATGTGACTAAGGTACCTACTCGCAAGGTCAGGTAGTGGAACACCTGGCGGCGGCACGCTTTGATGTATGTAAAAACGCACCATGCTCTACAAGTGCTTAGATATATTTGAAAACTTGCAAAAAAGTAGTTTGTAGTAAAAAAAAGGGGTCAAAGTGGCAGACCGCATTTTCGTGGAACGCTGCGAGTCAGCGCACTATACTAAGTTGTCGCCGGAACGATGTCGGTACAAGAGCTTAGTAAAGACTGGAAATTGCCCTATTGCATTATTATTATATATAATTTAATAATAAAACAGTCAGATCACAAATTAATGGAACGGGGGTAGGCAGCAGTCGCTTAACATGCGGATATTGAGTGCGCGCGAATATTCGGAGTGCATAAAATTATTGAACGATAAGGAATCAGATTAGTTTAATTTATCAAAAATTGGTTACATTGTTATTTATTCTGGAATTCACCGGACAAAATGGCATTATTCTGTCATTTGAAAATGCGATAAAGGCATGGATATGAGTATGCATCGTATGCAGTAGGAGATTTGAGCCAGTTTTCGGCCTCCCCCACCACTATGACGTCACGTGGGGTGAATGACCCTCCCCCCACCACTCTGACGTCACGTGGGGTGGATGACCTAGACCGACTCATGCCTCCCCCCACCACTATGACGTCATTAACGACGTAATGGTGGACACCCCCACCCTTCAACCCCCACCACTGGACACCCCCACCCTTCAATCCCCACCACTGGACACCCCCACCCTTCAACCCCTACCACTGGACACCCCCACCACTGGACCATGATCTCACATGACGTCAGGTGGGGTGAATGACCTAGACCGACTCATGCTTCCCCCCACACCTATGACGCCATTAACGACGTAATGGTGTAATTAGGGTGACCTTGAACGACATGTCCGACTCATACCTCCCCCACCACTATGACGTCACGTGTGGTGAATGACCTAACCCCCACCCTTCAGCCCCCTCACCACTGGACACCCCCACCACTGGACCATGATCTCACACACCCATCACTCGACCATTGGTGGGGTACCACCTCTACAACCAAATAAAAACATTTTAATAGTCCCATCATTCTAAACTTGACTTACTGTCCAGTGGTGTTAATAGTAGTTTTAAGTTTTTACTCAAATAATAATCAAAAATGAATTCTAAAAAAATTAACGAAGTTTTGACGAGATTATCACTCGAAGACGAGAATAATTGGTTTTCGGATGAAGAGGGGGAAGTTCCCAACAACATCATCGAAGGAGAGGATGGCATCATCGAAGTAGAGAACGACTTCATCGAAGTAGTTGATGATGTTATTGTAGAAGAAGAAGAAGAGGGTGAAGCCATGGTGGTCGCTAGGGGGCTGGAGGATGTAGGTGCCGATAACCTACAAGAGATGGATCCTGAAGATATTCAAGATGAGGGTATCGATGATGATCCGGCGACTGACAATGGTAACGTCATCTTAGATAGCAAGTGGATGAATGTTAGTGATATGGTGGAAGATCGTTTGGATCTGTATTGCGTGACAGACTCACACGTACGGATACGAACAATTAACAACACCGTCCATATGTTATGTTGGTGCTGCTTTAGATTCTACTCACATAGAAATGATAATGGGGGGTGATTACGAGCATGTCGACCTCCATTATTCCATTATACGATATCAATGATGGGATTGACACAAACGTGGTGTGAAGCGTGTGAGAGGCCTTTAACAAACTTTCGAAGGTTAGATGCTTGCATCATTTGTAATACTGACCCTTCACACATATTAGAGTGAATATTTTTTTTCAACTTTATTATTGTAACTTCCACACGCAAATTTGATGATAATTTTCCTCGACGTTTCAAATGTACCAAACTCGACAAGATTTCGATCCAATTACTGGAATATAGTTCGATGTGGTTGTTTCGGGATATGAGTTCAAATATATTTCCGATGTCCTAACACTGTTTCTATCGTATTTGTAATAAATTTGTGTCATATCTATTTTTTCTTCATTCGTGAAAGCCATTTTTCGCCAAAAATTCAATGACTTGTACAATAACAAAATGTCATTGAGTGCAATAAATTTAAAGTCAAAT